CGCAAACGCGGATCGTGCGATCAGCCCATCTGCCACATCCCTGTGACCGTCCGCTATACTGTCAGCACAAATGCGGCCTATCGTGTTCTCAGGATCACCACTGCAACTCCTCGTGCAAGGAGGCCTGCCGACAGCAATGCGTGCATCACAAGTGCCCGAAGCCTTGCTCAGAGCCTTGTGCGCCGTGCATGGAGCCGTGTCCGTGGACATGCGCCCACCATTCGTGTCCTGTTGTCTGCGGCTCGGTGAGTTGAATCGGGCAAGACCGGGATGCATTTGCTGAATGCGTTGGCCGGTAGATCTGTGCGCGTCTACCCTGCGACGAGCCGTGTACGAACACGCTCCCGTGTGGACATCCTTGTCCGTCGGGTGAGTATCGTCATTATTACGACGAGATATTCGGATGTCTTATCAATGCTACGCAGTCTGCGGCGAGCCGTGCACTCAACAAAGATGTGTTACCTGTCTTCCCAAAAGCCGCAAGCAGGATATCGTGGACTTTATCATGCAGCGTCAGTTGAAGGAAGTCGACCTGGAATCGAGCGATATCAGCGAGCGATTGATCAGGCTGGGATGCGGACATATGTTCACTGTGGAGACGCTGGATGGACACTGCAAGATGTCTGAATACTACGAGGTGGACGACATGGGCCAGTTTGTGGCGACTAAGGCGCCGCCAATCAGCTACCAGACCCCTCCGACATGTCCGACATGCCGCGGGCCTATCGATGCACTACGATACGGGCGTGTCACGAAACGTGCGACGCTCGATATCCTGGAGCAGAACGTTGCCAGTACAATGTCCCGCGCGCTCGAGGAGGTATCACCCACAATCGAGGAGCTGTCGTCCAATCTTGAGACCATGCTAGCAGCAGCAAAACAGCTCAATAGCGACTTGGAGACAGTCTCTGTACCTTCAGCAACACGCTCTGCGGAGGGAAGAACAATTGACCCTCTCAGCGCCAAGCATTTCGCCGTCGACGCCTTACAGACTCTGCACGGTTTGCAGAAGGACGAAGCAAACGCCTGGCAAGCTATCGTGAAAGACCTTGTGACTGTGTACCGCAAGACCGTGAAGGTAGCTACCACGCGGGGAGCACACGTCAAGGCCTATGAGGCGGCTCTAGCCACGTTGTATCGCTTGGAGCTCGATGCCATTGCCAGCGATCCAGGGCGTGATACTGACTCTCCAGAACCCCTCGCGATGACCGCAGTGAACGCGAAGATCGGGCAGCCTCCTCACAAAGCGGATACTCGGTTCCAAATCGAAGCATACACCTTATCTCTTGAGGTCCGCTTCATGTTGGCGCAAGTGGGTGCGAGCCGGCTCGAAGGCTTACCGATCACATCCGACAACGAGAACGTCCATAAACATCGGCTGCTTTGGTCATCCTTCGTCGAATTCATCCTCGCGTCCTGCCTGGCCGACGCACGCAAGGCGTTGTCCATGGCCCAGCGATCGTCCGCTTCTCGACAAGCCGCCAAATGCGCTTTATACGTCCTGCGGTCTGACTTCGAACAATTCCGCGTACGCATCATGGAGGAGAGAGCGGACTGTTTGAGGCGTGCCATCATGAAAGAAGGCGATCGCAACATGCTCGCAGCGAAGGTGAAAGAGAAGAGCACGTACATGCTGAATTATATTTCGAAGGCCGAAGAGGAATATATCCGCAGCCGTCCGTCTCAGTCCATGGCGGATCTGAGGGAGGAGCGTCGGTGGTTCAAGGAGCACTGCGCGAGTAAAGTGCATCGTTGGAGGCGAGATTGCGAGGAGCTCGAGAAATACATGCTCAGGGATACGTTCTACCAGCCAATGTCGTTGCAAGAGAAAGAGGACATCGTGAAGGCATTTGGGTTTTGTAAGTGTCAGCTGCCGTCATGAGTTGCATGGATTTGCTGACCTTCCCATAGCCCACAGAGGACATTTCTACAATTGCGAGAATGGCCATACTTTCGTGATCACAGAGGTATGCAAATTCACACCAGTACAGAAATTGGGGTTTGACAATCATTTATTGCACCAGTGTGGTGGCGCAACGGAGGCCGCCAGATGCCCTGAGTGTCGCGCCCCGATTGGCGGTGGAGGGCATGTGTTACATGGATCCAACACGAGAGCGACAGAGTTCGAACAGATTTCGGGCAGACATGGCTCGCTCCCCGGAGTATGGGCCTGGACGAGAGATGCTTGATAGGTGATGGAAATGTCTTGTAACGTGCATGAAGCGGGACCCCGAAATACTTTTCTATGTATAGCTACGCGTTGAACAAACTTGCCAGTGCATAGTATATTCTTTTACGTACGAAATCTTGGTCATGGCTGCGATCCACGTACTTCAAAATACAATTAGATTCGACGATAAACAGGAGAGATGGTCTTGGCGCGGAGCGGACCCCAAGCTTGTCTTCAGGTCCTAGCCGTGATGCGAGAGTGGCCCTCCCTTGTCCTATGCATGCATTCGACGCCTAGAAAGCGTCAACACGTTGAATGAATGCAAGTTCAGGCTACAGAAGGTCATCAGTTAGATGCTTGTTTGCACAAATGCTTATCTTGATCCAATGCTCCGAGAAAAACACTTTGACATTTGTGACAGTCTTGCCGCTTGCTTGTTTACTCGTAATACATATGTAGTTTCAACCCCGCCGGCGGTCGATGCAACCCGGGGGCCAATGTTGCGCCTTCGGGTGGCACGACTGCAGACATACGGTTACTAAATACCACGCCCGATCCCCAGTTCTGCACGCATTTTTGGTACATCGTCACATTTTGTGAATGAATCACACATTCTCGCCTCACACCCACAAATGAATCGCGACACGAATATATTTAACACAGTCACGGGACCGCATTATGGTTCGACGCGTGCGCTTGAACCCACGCGTCCAACATGCGTCCACGGTCTTTCCCACTGGATCGCGTGCATGGTTGTCCCATGGCCCTCCAACGCTCAAGATAAGCAGCAGCGCATTTCTGGAGACTGAAGTCTGCCGTAAATCATTCTTGCGCCATGGTGTTCCGACGGCATCCATCGTCAACAGCACATACAAGACATTGTAAAGGCAGTCTGCACTTTGACCGGATTGGCATCAGCCGCGCTTCTTCAATATGCCGCAAAACTCGGTAGTAAAACCTCACGTCGTGATCATCGGTGCTGGGTAGGTATCGACATAGCGAAAATGAGCAGTTTCTGAGAGTTTTGATGGCGTACATAGATTAGGGGGGATTGCTTGTGCAATTTCTATCAAGAAGCAGCTTGGCTTCACGAATTTTACCGTAAGTCGCCGTTTTCAAGTTAGCTACATTCATAGACTTCACTGATAGCAATGGCCGTTAAGATGTATGAGAAGGGAGCGGGCTATGGAGGAACGTGGCGGGTAAGCTTCGTCCGCAATGACCGTGCTGTGACACTTCCCAAAGCACTTGCTGAGAGCTTGACGAGCCTGCAAGCATCACGCGACGTGCTAGCAACGCCTCTCATATTCCAGGGAGCTGTATACTAACTGTGTGTCCAGGAAAACACCTACCCAGTACGCACACTTAATCACCGCGACTGACCTCCGCTTCCAACCCTGATACACGTAGGGCTCCGCGTCTGATACCCCAACGCATTGGTACAGCCTATCTACAGAGCTTAACCCGCACTGGACTGCCGTGATGGCACCCCAGCCAGAGCTGCTGGCCTATTGGCAGGGCCTCGCTCAGAAGCACAAGCTGCACGCAAACACTGTCTTTCACGCACATGTGGTCTGCGCAACGTGGAATGATGCTCTGCGGGAGTGGGAGTTAGTAGTTGAGGACGTGACCACGGGCATATGCACGGCGACGACCGCAAGGGCAGTTGTGTCTGCGACTGGAATCTTGAACGAGCCGTTTGTCCCGGAGATTGTGGGTATGCAGCGGTTCCGCGGACCGTTGTTCCATTCAGCCAGATGGAATCATTCGGTATATACTCGAGGCAAGAGGATAGCCGTTATTGGAAACGGAGCATCGGCGTCAGTAACTACATTCTGATTGCTGCGAGGTGACCGTAGTGCTCACTACACACAGTGCGCAATTTGTTCCTTTCCTCGTCTCAGATCCCACCATGCACGTTGTCCATATCTGTCGCACGCCTAATTGGTACATCTACGGAGTGCGTCTCTTAATCTGCCGTTATGTGACGTCCCTTTATCACACTGACGGGCGTATTAGCCTCGCGGGAAATACTCCGCCATTCTCAGATGGATTCTTGCCCATATCCCCCTTGCGCTGAGGCTCTGGCGGCTATGGGTCATCGTTGTGCGCTCGTATTCCATTCCTAACTTCTGCATCATGCCTACGGACATCGGTAGGTGCGTCTATCCCGCCCATACATCCAGTTGGCCATGCAAAGGCTTCGCGGCTGCGAGGGCGGTATCAACGTATGTGCGCATCTCCAAGTAGAACAACGAGACGCTCAGCCTCTATTGAGGACAGGACATCATCGAATATATGAAACGAACAGCGCCCGAGCGCTATCATGCACAATTGATCCCCTCTTACCGTACGTCGCACTCTAGGTGTTCCTTTACTATATAATGTGGGCCGACCTGCGTTGCGTAGCACTCCAGTGTCGCCGACCAATTCTGGACCCTGGATACCTAGCGTGCTTGCATCAGCCAAATATTGAGCTTAGGTGGGGAGAAATCAAGGAGATCCAGGAGGATGGCATCCTGATGGAAGGTGACGTCGGTACGTGTTGGATTCATCGCATTCCCAACGCTTTGGTATCCAACATGGTACAGACGTCACGCCCTTCGATGTGGTTATCCTGGGGACTGGCTTCATCACGGTGCGCACTCACTGCCAATTGCAAGGAGCGTTTCTCACTAATTGTGACTCGATGCCGCAGGGGAAGTACTTCGTGTCTGTGACTGGCAGCAACGGACAAACACTCGAAGAATATCACAAAGGGCAAGGTGGTCCGTCTGCATATGCGGGTGGCGTGTGCGTTCCCGGCTTCCCAAACTACTTCTTCATCGGAGGTGTGCTTTCTCGTCGCTCGGGGAGATAGACTGTTTCATATTCATCGAACATAGGACCGAACACCGTAACTGGAAATGGCTCCGCAGTGTACACCCACGAATGCGAGGTATGGTCAGCTGCGCCGTCCCTATACACTTTCGCTGACCAGACGCAGGTCAATTACATTGTACAACTTCTTCGTCCGCTTCTGTGTCCGCCGTCCTGTGCTCCCCGCGCGGCGTCACTTACCGTGCTCCCCACAGCACATGCGGCGTATAACGAGCGTCTGCAGCGCGCGATGGCGGGTCCGGAATACGGCGGCTGCCCACCGTCGTGGTTTCGGGTGGGCGGGAAGAACGTGAGCCTGTGGCCGTGGACGCATGCGTGGTTCTGGTGGGTTATGCGGAGGGTGAGGTGGCAGGATTATGAGCTGCAAGCTGAGTGAAGATGCACGTAGGCATCTGTACTCCTGTAGTCTCCCAATGGACTGAATCACAGCACGCATTCTTCGTTCTCTCAAATTAAACTCTAAGCCTTGCGGAGAAGGTGTCAACGGCGAAGGCATAGCCAGGTCGTCGCGGCATCATCGTACACTCGTTTACTAGTCTCTTCGTCTATTCGTTTGAGGGATCTCAACGAACGTTCTCTGACTATAATGGCATCTGTGCAAATGCCACTGTCAATGCGGGCTTGTTGGACCAAATCAGAGTGGTGTTGCACTGCCGTGGATTTCCCTGCAATCGACACCTTCCAGCAAAGATAGCGCCTCGCAGTCGTGGACGGCGGTGCTCGGATGAGGGCAAGAAATCGTTTGATTCTTTGATGACCATCATATTCACGTCAAATTCAGACTTCCATGTCCTCTTCAATCAACGTTTGATTCGCGTCTGCGTACCCTGCGCTTAGCCCCGATGTTATACAGCTTCGCGGCTCCTAACCCTTTCCAGCACAAGCCTCGTCCAAGTGCCTCGGGGGAACAATCAGTGTCGTACGGACTACTCTTCTTGATACACTGTGTGCCTACAAATGGCACATGTTCCAAGCGCAAGTGTCGCTATGGCCCTCACTCTCGTTCTCAGCCCTCACCTGGCCCTTGCACCCGTCTCTAAGCCTCAGCTACAACTACGGCGTCTTTCTTCACACACAACTACTATATGAACGCGAAGATGAGCTTGCACGGCACGCATAAAATGGTGCAGGGGAATATGAACTGTGGCATAGACTACATAGATAGCACTACCTAGTTAAAGAGCGGAACGTGAAGGACAGTGGTATACAACGAACGTCGAGCAGTCCACAAGAATCCTACGGTATATATGCACACACAACCGCACCAGTCCCAATAGCAAATAAACACGACATACACATCCCGCGCCTCCTCCCTCGCAAACGCAAATGTCCATCCGCGCTCTCACGGCGCCCGACGGCGCACCGCTATACCTGCAAAAAGTCCGTGCGCATCGAGTCCGCGTCGCCCTTGTGCGCCCGGTTGAAGCGGATCGGCGACCCGCTGAAGAGCGCGCGCACGGGCGTCCCGGCGCGGCGCTGCTCATGCGCCGGCCCGCCCGCGCCCTCCTCCCGCGGGGGGCCCGCGGCGTCGTGCAGCGGGATGTGCGCGTAGCCGCCCGCGGACGCGCCCGTGACGGGGCTGGCGAGCGAGCGCGCGTAGGAGAGCGACTGGGCGTGCGTGGACTCGGAGTACGTCGAGCCGTTGATGAGGCCGCGCACGAGGTGCTGGCGCGGCTGCGGCGCGGAGGGGTACTGCGCCATGGAGGGGTCGTCTGGCGCGTCGACGCCCGAGCGCTTGGATGCGGAGGCGGAGGCGGAGGCGGAGCCGTAGGGGAAGGAGCGGTCGGAGGGGCGGCGGCGCTCGGAGAAGTAGTGGAAGCCAAAGTAGGCGAGGATGAGGAGGAGGGCGACGCCGATGAGGGCGCCGAAGACGCTCGCGAGGATGGTGGGTGTTGTTGTTGCAGAGGGGCGAGAAGAGGCGGAGGTGGGGCTGAGGAAAGACATCAATGCGGATGTTCAAGGAAATCAGAACATGGGGACGTACGTTGCTGACGGACTGCTCACAGATGTAGATGCGCTGGATCAGTTGCAGAATCAGTGGTTTTGAAGATGAGATAGTCAGGGAACATATTCGATATTTGCACTTGGCGCCATGGAACGTAGATATCGTGAACGCGAGGAGCAATACGCATCAGCCATGATGCTGCACGCGAACACGTGATGATGCATCACCGAATGATGTGACCGACGCTGTTGTAGAGTCTACATGGACAAGAAGCATTCGTCTATCGAGCCATGCCATCTCGAGGACGCGAGCCGAGCAAAGAGGAGAGACATACCCGGTTCCAAATGGGGGTGTGACCGTCGCGACGGGGGCCGTCGAGTCTGCTGCCGAGCTATGGAGATATATATGAGATTCGCCTCATGGCAAGGAGGGGGGAGAAGCACGCACCCTGCGTCCCCGATGGTGACGAAATCGACGTCGAGCCAGGGCTGTGATGCGCCGTCGAACTGCGCGGTGATCTGCACAAAGTGCTGAGAGCTGTTCGTCGAGGCGAGCGCGCGCTGGAAGAGGAGCTGCTGGAACTGGGGCGTCGAGGCATAGGCGGACTGGTTGGGGAGGATGGCGTCGTCGACCTGGACGCTGTAGCTTGCCTGGGGAGTGTCAAGGGGGAAGCGGAAACGGACGAGCGGACACGGGACGTACGTGGCCTGGGCCTTTGGAGCCATAGATGGCGACGAAGGTGTAGCTGCCAAGAAAGGAGAAGTTCATGGTAGCGCCGTCGTTCTCTGCGACGTGGAAGGTGTGCTGGAAGTAGCGGTCGAGGTCAGGCTCGGATGCGTTCTGGATGCCCCAGCCATGGGAGAAGGTGAGCGAGGGCGAGGCGTCGTCAAGGGTGTAGTTCATGTGAGGCGGCGCCTAGTACGCATGAGGGGGCTAGCAAGGACCGTGGACAGAACAAGGGCTGCGAGCAAGCCGCGCAGTGACAAGAGAGGCGGCGGGGCCAGAAAGGAGCGGGGCGGGGAGTTGGCGGACGGAGGGAAGGGCAGGGCCTGGATGCTGGCCGAAGATGGACATCATGTCAGGACCACTCATCAGAATATGATACTTCAGCGCTGTCGTTTCACACAGCCCGCAAAACGTTCTCCCCGGCGCCGACGCTGTCGGACACAGAGGCGACGGAGGTCAGTGGTTGGTCGCAAGCGGGAGGCGAGAGACGCGATCCTCGACCCGCCGTCGCTACCATCATCATCGCCCATTTCGGGCATATGTCGGCGTCACGCGCGCTGTGGTCAGGAACCAATGGGACGTGCGCAGAATGTCCTTACGGGCAGCGGTCGCACACCATGCTGCGCCCTGGCCAAGATCATCGCGGCAAGGCCACCTCGTGGACTGGACTACACACGCACCCACATCCCCATCCCCATGTCTCGCACTTCCTAAACCGACGACGCGCTCATCTGTCCCGACTCGTTGGCGCCGTGCCTTGAACGTCACCGTTCGATGTATGCGGACTCCTTCCCGAAGACATGCAGAAAGCGGGAGCTCATCAGAGCGCCAAGATCCCATTCGGACATATATCGGTCGGGATTCACGAGAATCAGAAATGGCGCAAGGCACCAACAGGATCTGCGCCCGCTGCATGCCTTGCAATGCCCTCGAGACCTTAGTCTAAGCGACACTACACGCGCGACTAAATATCCTCGGTGTACATATTGTAAACACGCAGCGCCGAGTGCCTCGCGCGCAATCGAGGACGCCTCTCGATCTCAGATGATCGCTGCTGCGGAGTGCGCCATCCTACCGTTCACTGCTAATGTACATTGCAAGCCTCCTCGTTGAATGTGTGCGATGCCATGTGTCAGTATAAGCTACTAGCTATTCCGCATTCATGCTGGAAGCGTGAAAAGCCTTATTTGGGGAGGTCCTTTTCCTTGTGCGGTAGACCACATCCTCCTTCCCCTTGCTGTAGCACGAGGTATGAGACCGCGTTGGCGACCTGCGGCGAAAACGAATGTATGTTTGGCTGTAATACACGCGTTTCATCGCCGTTCTCTGAAATAATAATTCGGTATGATTATTTACTTTCCGCCGCGCAAGTCTATACAGGAAACCCTCGACAGCAGCTACAGCAGAGTACAGTAATATCACAGGATGGGGTAACAGCCGGCCTCGTGGCAACTCGTGTATGGGAGTCGAAGGCGGCGGCAAGGGACACACGAATTAAACTACGCCGTAGGTATATGCAAACGCAGAGCGATAGCGGGAATATATACATTGCGTGTACGTCGAGTCAGGGATGCGGAGAAAGAGGCAACGCAGGACCACGAAGAAGACAGTTCAAGAACGGAAGAAGGATCCGGCAGGACACGATTAACCGCTCGCCTTATAGTACACACGTTTCGCAGACAAGAAAATAAAGAAGAGATGAGCGAACAAAGAGAAAGAAAGGTCCTCGGCAGAGCCGCGTCGCCGCCTACGCCCTCATTCCAACGGTAGCGGGGATTCGTACCTGAGCATCCCCACGGGGCTGTTCTCCTGCGCTGGCACTCCGGGGACTCCCATCAGGTCCAGCGGACCCGGCGCTCCGTCGACCAGGCGATAGCCCTGCTCCAGCATCCCGGGGTGACCGTGGAGACGATACACCTCCTCGCCACCCCCCGGGAGACCCGGGTGTCCCGCCCCATCCGTGTACGCCATGTACAGGTGATCGCCGTGCGCCGCCTGCGTGTGCGTGTGCGGGCTCGGATGCCCATATGCCGCCGCGAGCTGCTGCAGGTACGCCTCCTCCGCCGACTTGCGCCGCGAACGCTCCGCCACCGCCTGCTGCTGCTCCTGCTGCTGCCGCTGCTGCGCCTGGCGCAGCATATGCAGCTGCTCCTCCTGCTGCCGCCGCAGCTCGAGCGAGTAGCGGTGCGCCTGCGCCTGCGAATGCGAAGGGTGCGCCATGGTCGGCGGCGTCGGGGCTCCGCCGATCGACGAGTGCGAGTTGTGAGGCGCCCGCGATGAGTCCGGAGGTGGTGGTGGGCCGCGAGACAGCTGCTGGTGCCGCACGCGCGCCTGGTGCTCCGCCTGAGCCTGACGCTGCGCCTGCGCCTGCGCGTGCTGCTGCTGCTGCTGCTGCTGCTGCGGCATATAGTACTCCTCGAGGAGCTGCATCGGCTGCGTCATCGTTGCAGAGCTCCATGACGGAGAGCCGTCGAGACTGTGGCCGAGACTCGCTCCCGTATTCGTATTCCCCTGCACCGCGGCTAGGTGGGCGGCCAGCATCTCCCCGTTCGCGTGGGCCATCATCGTCGTCGTCGGATCCTGCGTAAGGGTAAGGTCGCTTGCGAGGGTTGAGGGCACTCCCTGCGCCATAATATGGTTCGTAGGAGACCGGCGCGCCTGATGATGATGATGTTGTTGTTGTTGCAGGTGCGTGGAAGGAAAATGGAGAGTCCCCGAATGCGCCTGTGGGAGACGTTGGCTCGCGGTCGTCTCCGACATCGACATATCCGCCCGGAGTGAGTCGTGGAAGTGACTCGAGGCCGCCGCCGCTGCGTCCAAATGGTGGAAGGGATAGCTCGACGTGAGACGCCCCCAGGCCGTGTAGTCCTGCAGCGGAGGCGTAAGCATTTGGTGGGTAGTAGTATGAGGCGGGTGCGGTCCCGGGACGAGCGGCAGTGTTGGGACGCCGTCCATGACCATATGGCCCGCTTGGGGTGGGAAGGGGTAGTACGTGTGAGTGTGTGAGTGGCTGCTGGTGTGCGGCGACGGCGGGGGCTGTGGGTGGTGGGAACGGGCGAGCGAGGGAGGCAGGGAGGGCGGAGGAGACGACGGCAGCGAGGGATGGGAGTGTGGGTGGGGCGGACTCGGGCGCTGATGGAGGGCCGCCGCCGGATCCGGGGCGAACCCCACCGACGAGCTCGGGGAGACTGAAGCTGAAGGCGGAGGAGGGGACGAGAAAGGACTGGCCGGGGTGTTGGTTGGCGGGAGAAGCGGGGGCTGGGTGTGCAGACGAGGAGGCACGAAAGGACTGGCCGGGGTCACGAAAGGAATGGCTGTTGGTCGGGCGAAGGCTGGGCCGGTCGACGTCGGACGTCTGGACGTGCCAGGTGCTGGCGGGGTAGAGGCCGGAGCCCTCGTAGCCGGTGCTGGTGCCCGGGCGCTGGTGGACGACGGGAGGCAGGGCGTGGAGCGCGTCCTCCTGCTTGATGGCGGCCATGGGGGTGGTGGTTCCGGCAAGGGAAGCAGAGGCGGCAGCGGGTTGGGAGGCAGCGAGGGAGGCCTGTGCCCGCTTGCTGCGCTGTGAGCCCTTGTTAGCGGCGGTCATGCTGGCATGGAGGGAGGTGAGCTCGTGCATCATGCGCTCGTTCTGCTCTTGCTTGTCGGCGTGGACGGTCTGTGCATGCTGGCGAAGGTTGTCGAGACGCGAAAACTGCTTGCCGCAGTGGCAAGTGAAGGGTCGCTCGCCGGTGTGTTTCCTGTGTGGTGAATGCGGGGAGTGAGTGGGGACGATGCGGGGAAAAGAGCAAGGCGCGCGTACCTGATGTGCCTGGCAAGATGTTCGCTTCTGCTGAAGACCATCCTGCACTCGCCATAGCCCCTGCATTGGAACGTCTTGGCGGGGGCGGGACGATAGCGCTTGTTGACGCCGGCGCCAGCGGCGGCCGAGGCGGCGGCAGCAGCGGTAGCGGAGGGGGGCGGGACGTTAGGGGCGACGACGGCCATGGATATGTCGTCGTCGTCGTTGTCGTCGTCGTCGTCAGCGGGAAGGACGAAGTCAGGCGGGAGCTGGATGTGCTGCGGGGATTTTTGGGTGTCCATTGCCCGGTTCGTCGCGGGTCGTCCAACCTAAAAGGTGCCTGAGCCCTCTCAATTAAGGCACAGCGGAGTTCAAAACGGCTCCGGTCTCTCGGGTCAGGCACAGCCCGGCACCGATTCGAGGCGCGCTTCCCCATCAATGTCCTCTCGTCGATCCCACAAAACAAATCCTGCAAAACATAATACATGGCTCCGCTAGCAGCACCCGCCACGCCCGCACAGCCATCACGTCATGCCCGGCATACGATGCGGCGCACTTGGAACAGCGACGTCGCCCGGGGTCATTTCACGTGCGCGCCCTCATTCACCTGACGACCGAAGCGTTGGTGTCACCGCCTGCGCAGCCCATATAGTCATTACGTGCCCTCTGACATCGATTCTCTGCCATCACGATGCCGTTGTCCATCACGCCTGGCAGCTTCCTCCAGCGCAGTCCCCGCGCCCCTCCGCCTACTACTACTCCTACTGATCTTCCTGTTTCACCGCCATCTTCGCCCTGATTTTTCCTCGGCGCACTATGCTCGCCATCTCGATCCGTCTGCCCTCCGTCTCCGGATCCTGCCCCGGCCTAGGCCAGCCCACGCCGATATGGCATATCTTTCCCGACCGGCGCTTCTCGAGAGCGACACTTTGCGCTCGCCTCGTCTTTGACCAGCCTGGGCCAGCCATTCATCTGTCATCCTCGCTTCGCGTCGCGCACGCTGACATGTCACCACTACGTACCGCACCCATAATTCCGCATTCGCGTCCATCGTCCGCCTCAACCCTTTACGCCCCGCGCTCCGGACCACAGGCGCCGTGTCAGCCACCCCCGCCTTTGGCTGCTCTTGTTCTCTACTGCACCCAGCTGCACTCTAGCCTCCGCAGAAGAGTCCCCTGCTGACATGCCCGTCCCACGATCTACGGCCATGGCGTTCGAGCCTGCGCCGCCGCGGCGCTGCCGGAGGGCGGCGAGCCGGTGATCCGCGGGTGGACGGTGCGCCCGCTACAGCTGTCTGGCAGGCTGCGTCCATTCTGGGCAGTCGGGCGCACGCGCAGACAGGCCGAGCATTCCGCCTTCTGATGTGCTGCGCACTGCCCGTTGCGGCGCGCGGGCTTCCCTGGCAGCCGGAAGCCCGGGCAGCCACCCCGTCCGCGCATGGCGGGCGTGCTATCGCGGCGCTTACAGATATGGAAAGCGTTCAGACCTTGGGAGGGCGCGTTGATTCCCCGGACGCGGACGCGCGCAGGCACACTCCTCACGCTGCTGCCCTGTCAATCCTTGCCCTCGCCCCCCCTGATCGAGTGTCGCGTGCCAAGCCCCAGGCTGTGTGTGCGCCTGTACGGGTGCACATCAGCGTTTTTGCCCGTGCGCCTCGGACGCGCGCACCCGCGGCGGCGTCTTCATCATCATTTCATCAGTCTTGTTTGGTACAGGCCTTTTGATCGAATACCGTGCACGGCGCGTGCTGCGTGTGTAAGGAATGTGTAAGATGGCAAGCTCCCGGCGGAGGAAGCACGAGGGTCGGACGTGCTATGCTTCTCTGGGACCCCAACAATGTATACCGTTGCGGCAAGAATGGCCTCTCTTCGCGGCTTCGGAGAAAAGAGCGCCATCACGGGTGCGAGCAAACAAACACTCGGAACATCTCGCCCTCCTCATGAGAGCGCCGCTCGATACAGCCCGTTCCGTATCATTTGCGCGCAAGTGGAATTCAGAATCGACGGGCAGGACCGTGATCCTGACCTGGCTGGACTCGGTATCTTCACAGCCACAGTTTACCAAACCGGGCCGTTATTTCCAGGGTCCGCTCAGCAAGTCCGATTGCGCACACATCGAGTTGAACATGACATATGATATAGAATCGGTTGTCAAGCGTAAAATGTACTCAACATGTATGTGGACCGCGCAAGGCGCTGGCGGGCCAGAGAGGACCCGGATAAGCTACCGAGGACAAGGTTGGGCCAGATAGACGCCCAGATCGACCACGAGCACGCGACGACGTGTCTCGGGCCTGGCCAGATAAGCTCCGGCGAACAACTCGCTTCCTCGGCAACTCGCCGCCGGCATCCTGCTGACTCATTCCGACTTCTCGCAGCGGGTGCTGGCCCTCGCCGAGGCCCAGACCGCTGGTGGCTGTCCGGCGCCGCCCGCCAGCCCGGCGTCGGTCCCAGTAGGTTCGTAGGTGGAGCGCCTCCATGGCAGAGTACGATGCAGCCAATGGGATTGCTCGCTACGCTACTGCATCCCGCCCTGCACAGCCTGTCCATGGTAAAGTCTGGACACCCCTAGACGAGTCCTGCTGCTGCACGGTAGCTGTCTGCGAAGCGTTCCCCGCGATCCCCGGACGGCGGAAGTGCGGCAATGAAAAAAACCACACACAAGTCGCGTCGTCCAATCAGCCGCCTTTTCGCGTTGGCCAATGCTCAGGCGCGAATTGAGCACAAGATTGGGCGCACAGCCACCGCCACACCTTAAGTGAAGTGCTGATGTGTCGCTCTGCGACTGACGCAGCCTGGATCGTCCAGGCCGTGATGCGGACCAGAACATACCCCGACACATTGATGTGGGACTTCAATAAAGCCATACCGGGTAAAACGACGACGAGCTGCCGTTTCATTCGTGGGGATTCGCCTGGTGGGATATCTAGATCTAGGCCCTGCAGCTGCAGCCGTGAAGCTCCCAATGTGCGGTGCGCGTGTGCGATCGATGAGCGGGAGTGGACACCGGCCCATCGAAAAATCAATCGGCCGTTCATTCAACTGCGTTCTGGCCCGACAAACATCGCAGCCGGGTCCGCTCAAAATAATTCATGCGCGTCGTAAGCCATCCCGTGGTGCTCACCAGGCGCCGCCAGCCCCCCCGGCAGCTGTCTTGCGCGCGGGTCTACTGGCAGCGGGGCCAATCCCTGCGCGTGAGGCTGTGTGTCTTTGCCATTCGCAGACTAATTGCAGATGGGGCGTCCGTCTTCGCAGATGGCTCCTGCAGCGAACCGCCGTGCTGCAGCCGCATGGTGCTTGACGTTGCTCGCTAGAGTCAGAGTGCGGTACCCACCGTGGCAAGCCGTCACAGCGCTCAACGCGGCCGTAGGGCGTGCTTGTAAATTTTCCCTGCCTGGCGGCGATGCAGGGCAGATGGTGGGTGCCCCTGGCAGATAAAAAGACTCACTCATCGGCCCTCTATCGCAGGTGACAAGATATCAAGGACTCGCATGCGTTGTGGGCGAGCACGCCGGCAGGGTCGTGAGCACCCGTGCCTATCGCTGCGGCGGGACACAGTCCTTGTGCGCCGTCGTGCTAGGGAGGGGCTGTGAGACTTGTCTGACGGTCGCAAATTCCGCAAGAGAGGCCGCTGAGATCGACGCAAGCCTACGCCTGGAGGGTCGGCATCGCCGTCGCCTAGATGAAAATATGGCCGTTGTGATCGGTCGAAATGCTGCATAGCCGTCCGTCTCGTCGCCTTTGAGCCGCTAGAAAATCGTTGACGGGGCTGCGCGCATCCTGCGGCTTCCAGGCCATGCTGCCCGAGGCTTTTCATTGTTATCGAAAGACTCACTTGCACGACTCAAGGACAATCTGTCCGCGTCGCAAATTGCCTTCAAAACAACCTTTGAACTACAACACTTGCTCGATGCGGACAGCGTCCTCTAATTCCAACGACCGCGGCCATGGCGTCGGCATGCGGATCAGCAGGGCGGTGGCTTCCATGGAGCGCATTTCTGAAAAGTCCATCGCCGTAGAAAAATCAAAAGTCAAGAAGCGTGTAAATTGAGGGGCATGGCGCGGTGGGAGGTATGCGGCTCTTTCCGACGGCCGGTATGATTTAGGGCACGGACCATCTGGTATCAGGATACATCAGTGAGGACGCCTGTGCGACCCTGACGGAATGGCTGCGGGGAATTACGGCTCCCCGCATGGGCATTGGCTGGAGGCTCGCTCGAAGCCCGAGTCAGCCCAGATTACAGGCTCTCTATCACGGTAGTGGAACAACGAGCACCGGGCACTATCTGACGCGGCTTCGACACCCATGGATTTAGCGCGTGCTTGTTCTTTCCCTTGTACCTCCTTGACAGTCTGGCCCATCTAGGTGTATCGTGTGGGATGCGGGATCTGGACGGACGACCGTACAGCTGTGCGATGGGTGTCCTGGCACAGCGCGCACGAGTCATCACGCCGGGGGGCCTCCCATAGCCACATGACGCACGCAGAGACTGTTACGGGGGCGCCCTCGGTTGACAGCCCGCGATATCATATCGCGTGATTGAGCATGCGGATGGCTGCCAGAGATACGGTGTGGGAGCGCGATGGAAGGCTCATCCAGCGCCCCAACTCTCCGATGGCGAGGGTCCACCGAGGGGGACACAAGTGAAGTCATCGCTTCGCCGTGGAAGGGGAGGAGCGGGCAAAAGTAGGGTCCCCGGTGGTGTGCTAGAGCAGAGCGAGTGTCGGCGAGCAGGATACCCGTGATTCGGGGGCGGGATCCGGGCGAGGTCGCGGCCCACGCGAACGGGGGCCTGCGGCCGGCTGCTGGTCGTGACGTTCGGGGTGGTATGCTAGCGTCCTGCGCTGTCCACTTCTTAAGCTATCGGTGCATGTTGCACTCCACGCCACTGCGCAGAAGACGACGAACCTTGGCGAACTTGCAGCTCTTCCATTCCTCGCTGGATACCTGCTAGGCTATTTCTGGATGTCCCATCGCTCGTTGTTGGGGGAGTCCCACTCATCAGAAAGATCCATGCATCGTCTCCACACACAGGGCGACCAACAGCCTTGGCCTATGCCTCGTCGCGTCCGTGGCCGTCAGCCGCGATTCAAAGCGAGAGAACAGCGGCCCCTCGTGCGATCAGCGCAATAGTCTTTGTACCGAGTGAGGCGTCGCGTCGAGAAGGCACGGTTCTCCCTCGCTATCATGCCCAAAACGGCTCGGGCGTTGCTCACGATTTTGAGTGTTACACTAGAGGTCTATTTACGGACGTATAAGCACACCACATCGCGAGTCGACGAGAGCATCCACTCAAACCTCGACGTCATCAGCCCACGGCCCGCCACTCCCTTCACCTGTTCCCAAACGTCCGAGTCTCAGTCCGCGCACCCTTCTCACGTCCTGCGCGTTTCTAGAATATCTGCTCCGAGCACGTTGCAACCCACAACGCCCCACAACGCGACGCGACGCGGCGCCATGACGTGATGAGATTTCATTTAAATTTGGGCTACGCGACTTGGGGGTGACTGATTGACTGATCATCAAATACGTTGGCGAACAATTCTACCCGAGGTGGGCTCCGCGAGCACGGACTCGGCCTTGGCGCGCTCACGACGTCTGAGCAGGGTCGACCTTGTTCTCGATTTCGAGCATCATGCAGAACGCCTGAGTCTGCGGATTCGCGTAGTGGGGCGCTATATCACCGTTCTTTGTGAGTACAATGTAAGCACCCACGAGTGTACACATGCGACGTACGTGGCTGCTTCGGCCCCTTCCCCTCCGCGTCAGGCACGGGCGCCGTAATTACGAAGCTCTGCATGTCCTGTATGACCACGTTTTCGCGGTTTGACAGCAGCTTGTCCCGCACCCACGTCAACTCCCGCGCGACGGCCTCGCGCGCAGTTGCCTCGTCTGGGAATGGCGGCTGATGTTGGCTCGTAGACATATAAGAGTGAAACGCGCGCGTGATCGCAAGCCATTCTGGGTCGAATGCGAGTACTGGCGTGCTGGTCTTCGGGTCCGGTTCTGGCACGTCGACAATCTGTATTCGGATGGGGTCAGAAACACGGATGTGAGGCGTTCGTGCGGCAGGAAATCTACCTCCAGGAATTGTCGTTTTGGCAGGCACTTGTCGAGCGCGACAAAGCGCGTTTCGCTCGGGGGCGGGGGCGGAGGCGGGGGTGCCTCCACAGCGTCCACCTCGTCGTCGAGTATAATCTCGTCTGGGTTCGCTGGCGGTGCATTGCCTCCCGCCGCCTCATCCTCGTCCTCGATGACAATCTCATCCGGGTTCGTTCCCTCTGCAGAGGCCGCGGGCGGGGCCTCGTGCACGACACGCGCCTCGAAACGGCAGTGCAGGTGGGCGGCGAACCACCATGCGGGGCGCAGAGTGTGGAGGAGACCCGTGAGCGGGGGCGAGCCAAGCGCGCCGCGCTGGATATCCTCGCGGAAGTAGGGTTTGCGGCGGAGGAGCCCGCGCAGGTCGCCGTGGTGCTCGATGCCCTGCGGCCAGTCGTGGGAGAGGAAGATGGTCGGTGAGGAGAGCTGTGATATTTATCAGCTGCCAATTTGCATGCGAGGACGGAGCCCGCTGCGTGGTCGCAAGGTGAGGCAACTTGCGTCTCAGCCCGCTGTAGTCGTTCAGGTGGCGACACGACCAGCGGGCATTTATCCAATCAGTAAGCTCGCGTAGTGGCCATACGAATGGTCGCCGCGAAAAACGACAGTTGCACAATCGCCCACTAGTTGCTTAAATCGTTAGAACTAGTCGGCGACTGGCAAATCGTTGTTATCTCAAGGTACCTTCGCCTCGCCTCGCCGCAACACGGAACGGAGGGGGGGGAGGGAATGTGGCGCACCAGGGAGAGTCTGCGGACGTTGAATTCGCGAATGTGGTAGATGCTCCGCATAGAGCCGTGGCTATATGGCACGCGCTCCCAGTGTCCTGCGTATGCGTCAGCGTCAACAAATGTGCGGGCGACGCCTGGGAGGACCTGCCTTGGCAAAAGTCATGTCGCTTGAAGATGCCAGAGGCACCCGCGATGCGGATGCCGTTGACCTGGACGCAGCCCGCGTGGCCGAGGAAGTAAATGTTTGGTGCGACCCAGCCGCCGTGGTATCTATATGAGGGTCAGCGAGGGCTCAGTGCATAGTTGAAGACGGCACGCACAGCTCCCAAAAGTAGTTTGACGCCTCGTGGTTCCCGCCGATAATGATGGTAAGTATGGGCGCCTGCCTCTCGCCTGTGTAGTATCTGGTGCGATGTGAGCGACCCGTTTATGACGGCAGGCATGTGCTATCCTGGCATGTGCGCCTACCTACTTGTAAAATCCGCCAAGCTTCTTGTACTTGTCTGGAACGGCCATGTACTGCAGGTCGCCGTGGTTGCGTATCGCCTGGAAGTCGCCGCATATGAGGAGGAGGTCGACCTTCAAGTTGTCGCGCTGCTCCATCTGCGCAATGTGCGTGTAGATTGCGTCGAGCTCGCCATGGCAGCACCCCTCGATTGCAATCTGGACGGCGTGTGGCAACAGAATTTGAAGATCACGTATTGAAGTGCGGACAAGGCACACACCTTCATGCTGTGTATTCGTAGCTGGTACTTAGCACCTCCAGATAAATTTGAACGTGAATGCTGTGGACTTGAAGAGCACTTTTTCGCTCGCAACACACAGCAGCAAGCTGTTAGTTCTCGATGAACGAGACTTGTTAAATGGAGGCGCGCTGCAGCGGGAACCGATCACCTGAGCGTTTCCCAATCGGGCGGATGATCGACTTTTCGCCTTCCTGCTCGCAGACGCCCGCACATTCTCCTGACTGCCCACCATGTTACGCACAGTGTACGCCGTCTATTCTTCTTGGGCTGTATACTCTGACCGTCGGATATAAACACTCCCAGGAAACCAAAAAATGCGCGCTCAAAGCGAGTGCTGCTCGCGCGCGAGCCGAAGGAGGTCGAGGACCCGCGGACGGCCATCTTCGTGAACGGCACGCACGCTGGGGAGAAGGTCAAGTCCGTCATGAAGGAGCTTGTACGTCGCCCCTCTCCTCGTAGCGCCTCTCTTTTTCTAACTTTCAAATTGCCCCATTTCTGCAGATGGCGCTGAAGCGCCCCCACGCGATCTCCTTCTCGAAGAAAAATGCGGTGCGCCCGTTTGAGGACGCCTCCTCGCTCGAGTTTTGGGCGCAGAAGAATGATGCGAGCCTTTTTGTCGTCGGGCAAACCACGAAGAAGCGTCCCGACGGCATGGTCTTCGTGCGTATGTACGATGGGCGCGTGCTTGACATGTGCGAGGTCGGCGTCGACCGTTTCGTGAGCATGCAGGAGTTCAAGGTGTGTTTTTTCGCTATATCACGCGCGAGGAGCCCGTGTTCGGCTGTCGTACGCCTGCTGGGAGTCCTGGTAGAACTAGACCGTTTATATCCTACTCGGACAGCGTCGTTCTCTGCCTTACCGTTAGCTGACATGTTGCGCAGACACCGAAATCGACGCCGGGACACAAGCCAATGATGCATTTTGCGTCGGAGCTGTTCGACACACACCCACGGTTCATGCAGCTCAAGTCGATGCTGATAAGTTTTTTCAACGGGGAAGCGATTGATTCGATCTCCCTGGCGGGGCTGGAGCATGTCATTAGCGTGAGCGTGGGGCCGACGCCGGCGTCGCTCACGTCGACAGCAGCCGCGGCTAGCGCTACGCTCGGGCCCACGGCGTCGACATCGACGACTAGCGACAGCGCGTTGCTACCAAAAGTGCATATTCGGGCATACACGATCCGGCTGCTTGCGTCGGGCGTGCGGACGCCGCGCATTGAGCTTACACCGATGGGACCGTCGCTGGATCTGAGCCTGCGACGACACACAGACGCAGACGCAGAGGTGCTCAAACAGGCGTTGAAGCGGCCGACGCTGCGGAAGCAGGAGGTGGAGAAGGGGCTGGGGCGGAAGCGGAAGAACCTGGAGGTGGACGAGATGGGCGACCTGCGCGGACGGATTCACGTGGGAAAGCAGGATCTGGGCAGGCTGCAGACGCGGAAGATGAAGGGGCTGAAGGGCGCGCGGGCGGACGCCATGGACGTGGACGTGGACGACGACGCCGACGACGACGCCGATGCGAGCGGGTCAGAGGGGTCACGCACAAAACGGAGGCGGTCCGAGTAGTTATTTGTGTTGTATATAGATACATTTTTATGAGGCGCAGTCGCCGGGGTGGCGGTGAGAGAGCTTACATAAGCGAGCGCGAGCAATGGTTGTCGGTGCGCATGTGCGGTCGGGTTAGTCGCGGACGGCTTTCTCTCCGCTGCTACTGCTACTGTTGCTGCTGCTCGCGTTGTCCTCGCTGCTGCCTCCGGCCAACCCAGCCCTGCTCTTTCACTGTGAACAACCCCACGCTCCTTTCTCTTCACCCTCACATCGCTTTTGCTTATCGTCATGTCCTGTAAGTTAACCCGCCCTATCTCACTTCCCCAATAGGCCTAACTCCCCGCAGTCTTGCCCTCTCTCGATCCATTGTAAGTCTACTAACATATCCGCCCTGTTCGCGCTCACAACATTCGCCAGTAAACCGTCAGACACCTCGACGTCGTCTCCCGCAGCCTCGTCTACTGGTTCGTCATCGTCTACGGACTCATCGTCGTCGTCCTCGACACCGACCTCGACCTCTTCTTCCACCTCGACCACCACCACCACCTCCTCCTCTTCGACGACCTCCTCTTCATCGTCCACTCAGTCGTCCTCTTCCCCCACTTCGTCGTCCAGCTCGACCTCCACCAGCTCCAGCACCCAGTCGTCGACCAGCTCTTCCACATCGACCAGCTCCTCCGCGTCCTCGACCTCAACTAGCACGAGCAATGGCAGCTCCTCCACTAGCGCCACCAGCTCTGCCACCAGCGCACCTTCGACCTCCTCGTTCATCTACTCCACGTCATACAGCACCGTCTACAGTCAGAGCACTGCGCCCGGCGGTGGGGTCGTCACATACACGCACACCATTCCCTTCACCTCCACTGCAACCCCTCACACTGACAACGATGCTACTTCCTCTTCGTGAGTACTCGTTTTCGCTATTCATATCCTTTGCACCCTTGGCAGCGGCTCTTGTGACTCTCAGGCGGCACTTGGCCATCAAATCACGATTTTGCCCCAGCGTATCTTCTGGTGCTCGTTGGCCTTTCCGTCCGCTCTGCCTCCTTTGAAGGGGCGTTTCTAAGCGTCCTCCGCATGGTCATCGGGCCTCTGATGTATAGTTGTCGTACACGTCTCATCCATGTGCACATCGCTGCATCGTCTCACACTTGACAACTCGAGTCACGCGTGTTATTTCCCATCGGAAGTGTTTTGATGCATACGCACGCTCTATTCTTGTCCTCGCTGATCATTCGCACATTCAGGTTCTTCGACAACAAGGGTGCTGTTGCTGGCGTGTTCACCGTCGTCGGCTTGATCGGTCTCGGTATCATCATCGCGATCCTCACCTGCGCCGTCCGTCGTCGCCGTGCCCAGAAGTTCGACGAAGACGTCGCTGAAGCCGCCGCCGAGGCTGCTGCCACCGCCCATCGCGCCCCCAACTTCAACGACGACGATGACTTTGACCGCGCCGGCCCGTACTCCGACACCGCCTCTCACGGCACGTACGCTCAGCCGCCGCTGCAGCCCGGCGAGGCGTACAACATGAGTGAACTCGGTGCGTTCGACCCGTACGGTGCGGCCGGCGCGGCCGGCGACCCCTACAGCGCCGCAGGTGCAGCTGGCATTGGCGCAGCTGGCGTGAATCGCGCCCGGAGTATGGGCGGAAATGGCACTCCGACGCCGTACAATGCTTTCGGGGGACCCGGTGGGGGGACTAACGGTTACTTTGGCGGATATGGCGCCCAGCCTCAGGGCCAGTATGGCTATGGCGGGCCCGCCGCCCCGAGTCACGACCTGCTTGATGCAGCGGGCCTGGGTGGTGTCGCGGCCGCGGCATCTGCAGGGCTCGGGCACGGGCCGTACCCGGACACGGGGCTCGCGCGGAACAAGAGCATGGGCGCGCAGACGCTCGGCGGAATGAGCTCAGCATCCGAGTACAGCTCCACGGCGCACACCCAAGCCGCCGCCGCCCAGAACGCGGGATTGTACCAGGGAGCTACCCAAGGCGCGCGCCCAGTGTCGACGGGCGACCCGTACGCGGCATACGCGGGCATGGAGGGCCAGCGCATATCCGGGGCGTTCCTGCCGAACCCATTCGATACGCCCGCCGCCCCGCCTGCGGCCAAGCCGGCCGCGGAGCTGCCGCTGCTGGGCGCGACCTTTGCGTCGCCGGAGAGCTCTGTGGACCATGATGCCGGTGAGGAGGAGGCGAACCCGGGCTGGGCGCCTGAGGGTCAGGAGGGCAGCCGGATGAGCTTGCGGGATGACGAGGACTATACCTTCGGTGGTGGAAAGCGGGTCCTGAAGGTGCGTATGCGCACGCCGTAGCGTCTTTCCCGGGGACTGACACTTAACGCTCTCTAGGTCGCAAATGAGTAGTCGCAATATACAAGGGAGCGCGCTGGCAGGTACCGGGGCTCCGTGCGGCGCGGCAGGACGACGTTAGAAGTGCGCGTTCCCGTGCCCTGCGTGCAGAGTCCGTGGAGTCGCGTTCGCATTCTGATATCCCGAGTTATTTATGCTATGCTTCGTCGCTCGGCGCGCGGGCGCTCGTTACCGTGTCGCCGTTGCCCGCTGAGACGATTTCCCCCCGTTTGCCTATCGAACTATTTGATTTCGTCTAAATGCTTTTTGCCGTATTCGTATTCCTAGCTTACTCTTCCTATTACTACGCTGTTTTCGCATGTCTCTGGCTGTACGCCATGCTTTGGGTGTCGGTAGGACGTCCTCAGTTTTCGTCTGGGATGCCTGGACCCTGCCTGCATGTTTATGTGATAACTTTGTGTCTCGCTCCATCTGACTTTCTGTATGGCGGGCGGTGTTTGTATATTGTTCGGTGTGGTGCATGTTAGCGAATGGTGGGTCGCCCGTTGTACATCAAACTGCATTTCTGCCTTGAGGTGATTGTTATGTGTGTATACGATGAGATCGAGTGAAAGCCAACGAGAGAACCATCCGGCCATTAGCAAAACCAAGTTCGGCGTGCGAGATGATGTATTAGTTATGAGCATTCATCTTATTGGAACATCTCGCGCAGTCAGCGCGCATCCTACTGCGAGAGACTCGTGTGCTAGAGGCCGCTCGAACTCCAGAATCTGAGTGATCTGGCTTGTCGATGAATCTCGCATAGGTTGTAGAAGTTGTCACGATTGGGTGGTCGGTTCAGAATGTCGCATTGGTCGTGTAGCGATACAACTTGTCAATCCCTGTCTTACCTCAGGCAAGTCTTTAGGACTTCGAAGCTCGTGGCGTGAGATCCTCTGAATGAGCGATGCAAATGTGGGCCTACGGGCAATCCTGTGGTCTGCAGTCAGTATCAAGAGTCCACCCCGCATGTTCTCTTTGATTTGAGATGACGACGAGACACGGCATGATTGAGATATACAGCAGGTGCTTTCAGAAAGCGGCTGCAGAAGCTGGATGGCGTCCGTTCTCCTGCGCGCTGGACTGTATGAAGACGGCCCCAAGACTTACAAAGTAACATATGCATTAACGCGAGAACAGGGCAGTGGACAACAAGGCAATAGAACATGCAACAAAGCAGGGATGCAACAAAGTCGAACAGCGCTATAGTCGAGTATCGCCAGGATGTATGCTTCTCAAAACGATCCTTCAGGAGACATCGTCATATGCAACGAAAACAGAAGGCGTTAGGTGGGCGTACCACGGGCTAGCGAAGTCCCGCACGACCAGCTCAAGCGTCTTCCATTTCGACATCGACGTCATGCTGAACCTCATGAATGCGAGCGAGAGCGCGGATCTGGTGCGGAGCGTCCGTCAGGAAGTATCGAGGACATTGTATGCGCGTACCATCACCATCCACGCGGCTATCAGGAGGTAGTTTCGCACCTCGCGATTGTCGAGCTGCGACAAGATAACCGGGTGCTCAGTCAGTTGAGGGTCATGATTGCGGTAAAGCGCCATGTCAATACAAAGGGATACTCACCTCGGGAGGACCGCGGCGCACATAGGGCTGGTAGCGGTGGACGCCACGAGTGAGGTGATCTCGACCACGATGATTTTCAGGCGTCATAATATGGCAGTGACACGAGAGGTGTATCGAGGAGAGATGGGAAGTATGAATGCCGGAACACTTCCAGTCCATTTATACTGTTCTTAACAGCAAGGATGAACTTTTGGATGGCTTCAGGAATGTACGACAGGCCGACAAGCGCGAGTGCCGCACGATGGCTCCTGGGATTTCGGCTTGGTGGATTACCTCTGTACGACGCACGCCTGCAGTGAGCTTGCACATCATTACCTACGAATAGGACATCTAAAACGTGTTTATGTGCTTAGTGAGTCAATCGGGCGCTCTTGAGTACTTCTCAAATGGTGAAAGATGCTGAGGTGACAGGTCAGAATGCGTGGCCTTATTGTCTAGTCGATCCAGCAGCCACTTGCCGATATCAAAGAACATGCAAGAACAGGTTCGGACGTGCACTCACTTTGAGGGCGTGTAGATACCCGAGCAACGTAGCTGCTCACGGGACTATAGGCGGGGTTGTTTGCCGAATGCATCTTGACGCGCAGCAGGACTTTGACTATTGTTAGCATGCAGCAGGCCTTGCTATGATCCCGAGCAGGTGGCAACCCCAGATTCGACAAGGCGCAGGTAGCGACAGTTTGATTGTTGAGCGAGTGATTAAAGGTACTGTTTGACATCCAAGGCTATCTCGTCACAGCATCAAACATCGGCAAAACGAGTCAACATCACACGAGGCCTGCCCACCGGTCCTCTGACTCGGAGGCATCACGCGAGCCCCGGTAACTCAGTGGCGTGCATGGCCAGTTCTGCTCGTACCCTGACGTGCAGGAATGGGATGGCGAGCACGACAGAGGATGACGTTTCCTCCCGCAGTCGTCTGATGTGCAGATCCAGAATCTGCAGAATGTGATTAGACAACGACGTGTTTATGAGATTATGGCTCGCCGTAGCTTTCCGTGCGGGATATGTAGTGCAGAAGCGACACACCTGAGTGGGTTGGTGATGAAGATCGTGATTGATATCTTGGCCGAGCAAGACGCAGAGTTCCCATAGTAAGGTGGAAAGGAGACTGATAAGCCCGGGGATGTCGCCCACACCTTCTGGATCAGAACACCAACGCAAGCATTGATGATGTTCTGCTTTTCAGTACGAGATGTGTAGGCAGTAAGGAGGATAACGCCATCAGCAGAGAAGGGGCCGTAGGTGCGGACAGTCTCGCGATCAATGGTGAGCCCGTTGGTCGTGAGCGTACCAGTAGAAGGATGGCGGCTGCAGCCAATTCCTCGGGGTTGAACAGGGTAAATTCTGCATCCTTCGCTGACAGCCATCAAATGGCCTTCGCTGATCTATGTTGATGGCGAGTGAAGATGCTGCCAATGTCGCAGACAGAGGAGGCATAGATGCCTCGCTCTGGTCCTGCAGAACGCACATAAGGCCACTGTGGTGAGTACTTGAAGGAGAAGGGCTGCGTGGCCGAACCCCCTGCACACGCTCTACATTCACTATGTTAGTTCCGTAGAGCCGACCCTTAACCTCTACAGTACCTATCCACCGATGTGACAAACCATATTGTCTGTGGCTGTGCTTTCGCTTGCGAGTGTGTGTAGTCTGCAAGTTCGACCTAATAACGATGGTGGCGGCAGTAGCTCAGGGCTTCCCGGGCCGCTGTCGATCACTTGGGCGCGTCCATCCTTCTCGCGCTACCGCTCCTGCTTGCTCTCATCGCTTTGTAGTTAATGGGACTGGGTAGGGAAGACTAGGTAGGGGATTTCACTAGGGAAAACCCTAGGGAAGTCTCAAAGAGGCGAGCGAGAGATCTAACGAGGTAACGATCGGACTTCAGTAGGTGTGCAAACAACGACTCATTAATTATTGATGTACCTAACGAGGTAATGATCCTTTACAGCGAGTCAGTACGGGCACGGTACGTAGTATCAAAGGGACAGTACTCACGGACTTCAGTAGGTGTGCAAACAACGACTGAAGTCCGTGCCACGAAACACCGGGTATATAGCCAGTCGCTACACGAGGTGAGTAATTGCTATCTCGGGAGAAAGTTCAAAGAAAAGGGGAATGAGGTTACAGGTACAGGGACGCCAGGGGCGCATCAACATCACGCCGATCCTGACGCGATAACACGGCATCATGCGTGCACGCGCACACGTGAATCGGTCGGACGCGCTTGGTCATTAACACTCCCCCTCAAGCCGGACGAAGTCCGAGGAGGTGTGCGAGCATTGCAACCTTGTCGCGCACAAGAGGTTTCGTCAAAATATCCGCCACCATCTCGTCGGTTGGGCAGTACACCAACGTCGCGCGCCCGGAGCTGATCACCTCGCGAATGAAGTGGTATCGAATATCAATGTGCTTTAGGGTTAGGTGGTGTTGGCGTCGACCTGCCTACTGAAGGACTTGTGGCTGACTTGGATGACTTGGGTGGAATGGCGTCCACCCCCAAGTTTCGCCTATACTTATAGGTTAATGGGACTGGGTAGGGAAGACTAGGTAGGGGATTCCACTAGGGAAAACCCTAGGGAAGGCCGTAGGAAAGGCCATAGGGAAGGCTGTAGGAAAGGCCATAGGGAAGGCCGTAGGGAAGGCCATAGGGAAGGCCGTAGGGAAGGCCGTAGAAAAGGTGTAGGAAAGGCTGTAGGAGAAATCATAAGAAAGGCTGTAGGAAAGGTGTAGGAAAGGCCGTAGGAAAGGCCGCAGGGAAAGCCCTAGGGAGAGTGTACAAAGAGCGAGTGTAGGGAAGACACAGGAAGAGGTGCAAGAAAGAGGGCAAGAAAAGGGCTAGGGGCCGCGCATGTACGTCCCGGACACATAATGCCAGACTATGGATGGAAAGAGTTGGAGGCGGCTTTCTAACAAGTGTTGTTCGTGAGGGCATGCTTCCCGGACGCACACATTCTGCACTGGCCGCAACTCATGACTTACCTGAGCCTTGCTCATGGGGGTGTGCTTCCTGGACGCACACATTCTGCGCCGGCCATAACTGTTGACTTACCTGAGCCTTGCTCATGGGGGTGTGCTTCCTGGACGCAC